GCAGTTGGGGAGGGAGGGGGGATCGCAATCGGGATCGGAAAACGGGACGCAGTTGGGGCGGGAGGCGGGGCGGTAGAAGGAGCGGGAGGGGAAACGGGAAGGGGGTTAACAAACGCGCGGAAGGCGGAGGAGTGGGAGGAGATATAGGTGGAGGAGGAGAAGCGGGACGAGCGCAAGGAGGAGCGGGAGGAGGAACGGGGGAAAGAGCAGGCGAAGCAGGTAGAGAAAGAGGAGCAGCAGGGGGGGGATCGGGAGGAGGAGCGGGAGGGGGAGGAGGAGAAGGCGGAGTGGTAGGAGCGGGAGAAGGAGCGGCAGGAGGAGTGGGAGAAGGAGCGGGGGAGGAGCGGGAGCGGGGCTATGGCGCTTGAAGAGGAGGGAGAAGGAGGGGGAGGAGCAACGGGGGGAAGAGCAGGAGAAGCAGCGAGAGGAGCAGCAGCAGGAGGAGCGGGAGGAGCAGCAAGAGGGGGAGCGGGAGAAGGAGAGGGAGGAGGAGAGGGAGGAGGAGAGGGAGGAGGTGTGGGAGAAGGAGCGAGAGCGGGGCTATGGCGGGATCTATGTCACGTTCTTTGGCAGAGGAGGAGTGAGAGGAGGAGGAGGAGTGCGAGGACCCGGAGAAGGAGCGGGAGGAGGAGTGGGAGAAGGAGCGGGACAAGGAGTGGGAGGGGAAACGGGAAGGGGTGGACGAGACGCGGGAGGGGGGCAGTGGACATTGATTAATTGAACGACGTCCTGGTCAGTCGGAAACAGTCTGCCACAGTCATGTTTTTTTTTTGTGTATAGCGAATATGACGACACAAAAAAAATAGAAATACAAATGCCCAAGCAGTGTGACAACAACAGCCTCCCCCCCCCTGTTCGTCCCTCTCCTCAGCCGCAGCGTGGCTGCGGCGGGTCCACTTGTTTGGTTAATAGATTGAGATATCCTCATTGAAGTGGACGGCCCCAGGTAATTCAGAAATATTATATTCTGTTCATCTGATTGCAACCAGATTCGAACATGGGTCTGTAGGTCAACGATTTCTTTTGTTTTCTTCTTTTTTTTTCTTCTTTTTTTCTTTTTCTTTTTCTTTTTCTTTTTCTTTTTCCTTTTTTTTTCCTTTCAACAGTTCGTGCCTGTACTAACTGAGCTTATGGCCATTGGTTTGTTGCACTTACACAGGTGCCCTTCCCGACCTTCTATGCTACCTAACTAACTACCCAACGTTTTTTTTTTTTTTTTTTTTTTTTTGCATTGGCGTTTAGATTGGATTTGTTTCTCTGTGGTGCTTAACGGTCCTGCACTCTTTCTGCGTTCTGGGCGGTCTTCCTCTTTTTTTTTTGGCTAGGCGTTTTTCATTTTTGCTAGGCGCTCGTCCTAAAAGTCTGGATCTGATCAATTCGAATGCCATCATCCTTTGAGCTGCCTTCTGTCTGAAACCACTACACGACGAGGCTCAGCAGCGGCCGAGAGGGGCCACCCTTGGTACAGTAACCAGGAGGTCCAGGCCCTCAGTGAAGGCGGCCACAGCATTGCTCATATATATATATCGTCAAATAGAACTGCCCGGTAAACCGTAGGCTGAGAGGGAGAAGAGGACAACAAACGAGGGGCTGTGACATATATATATACTGTGTTCCAACGAAACGGTTCTGCTTTTCGAGTCTTTCGCTGCAAGGAAAAATTGTGTTCTCATTTAATACATTTTTTAATTTTTTTATGGCTCTTTGCAACCACCAAACCTCCTGAAAAACCAGGCCAACTCCTTCAGACAAAAAAAAGATAAACAAAACTGGAAAACGAAGCGGTCAGCATCCTATCGCAAAAGGGCAGGCCTCCCGGGGCAAGGTCCCACTTGCGCAAATTAGGAGGAGATTTCGACCGTTGATCTTCGCTATCTACGGTCAGCCTCTCTTAATTCGTGCAAGTGGGACCTACGGGTAGCCCCCGGTTACCGCCAGTAGTCATAAACAGCATTTCTGACATGAAGACAAGTTACACCAGTCGTTTTCTATCTACCGCCGTTGATCTTTGCTATGTACGGTCAGTATATAGTTCTTTTCCCGTCAATCCAGTGCATTGCTAGTGTCTTCCTTTAAATATAGAATGGACAGTCGTTATATCTCTACATATCTGGGCCAACTTTCAGTCTAGATACGCTCATAATGACCAAGCATTCTACCCAGTCGAACACGGTAAACCAGCTGAGAGTCGGGCCGAACTTGTGTCTCTACCGTCTTTCCCCGAGCATAATGCACCCTAAAAATGGAATGTATACAAGCTATCTTTCCGGCCAGATACGACCAAAATAAGGGTGCGTAGTGTTCGGGGGAAGACGGTAGTCAGGCGTGGGTGTGAAATTTATATATGTTATGCAAATGTGTTTGCTTACCCAAAGCGGAAACCTTGTGTCCTTTTGAAAAAGAAAAAAAAAAGAAAAGAAAAAAAGAAACCTTGTGTCGTGATTCAGCCAGCAGCTCTTCACCTCAGATTGTTCGCTTAGGGCCCCTTACTCAACCCCACCAGGCATGACGTGCACAAAAGACTAAACTTATGGCAGTGCATCTTCCCATGTTCCAGCAGAAGATTCGTTCTCATTTTGCAAATCTTGTGACCGGTGGAGGGAGACCCCACTCTCCAGGAGAGGAACGAGGAGTAGGTGTGATCTTTACTCTCTTCACGATGTGTTCCACTCACCCAGACAGTCTATCGCCCTGAACAAAAAACGATCTCTTCTCGGAAAAAAAAAAAAAAAAAAAAAAAAGAACAACGCTCTCTTCCGGCATTTAAACTGTTGGCGGTTAACCCTGTTTCAAACGTAAACCAGGCCAATGAATGAGGGACACATATCCATCATTGGGATTTGATGGACTTCAACATTTTTTGCCTGACTACACACACACACACACAGAGGCGGACGAAGTTTCGCGAAACCAGTTCGATCAGATTTATGAATATGAAGGGCACCACAGTCGAAGATGTGCCAGTTCGTCCCCATTCTTTTTTTTCTTTTTTCTTTTTTTTGTTCGGACCATTTCTTGATTTATGCGTGTCATCCTTGCGCAGGGGCCATTTGCTAATTTACCCTTCTCTGTATTGTTCCAATTTTAACGGATGTCCCGAAGGACTGGTCCCCATTCTCATGCTTGTGTCATAATCTCTGTCCTTATCCTACACACCCATCATTGTTCATCAGATTTTTTAACATGGCCATCCATCGAGGTTCATCTCACGGTTTTGTGGTGGTCCCGACCCTGCAACGTGGTGGTCAGTCAGAGCAGTCTCCGTACCGTCTTGTCACTTTCCTTTTTTTTTATTATTATTATTATTATTTTATTTTTATTTTTTTTTATTCTTAACATCTTCAGGCCTGTTCCTCTGCCTCCTGGGTGCGAATAGCCCCAAGAGATAGAGGTTCGCGTCTTCGATGGCTCCAATCTATTTGTGGAGAGCTGCACCAGCTGGAAACCGGGTCCAGCGTCCCTTACTTTCCTTTTTTTTCTCTGCCCTAAGCTAAAAATAGAACAAGTACCTGTTCTGATCATCAGTTTATTGGGCCTCGCCACACCACTACGAGTGCATCATCCACAGAAAGTGGCAAGATGCATCTTCCACAGAAAACGGCACGATGCATCTTCCACAGAAAGTGGCAAGATGCATCGTCCACAGAAAGTGGCAAGATGCATCGTCCACAGAAAGCGGCAAGATGCGTCTTCCACGCGGAAAGTGGCAAGATGCATGTGTTACTATACATAAATAAGTGACGCATGCATCTGGCCACTTTTCGTGAATTTCTGTTCCAACAAGTGATGTGACAAGGCCCATTATATGACCTGATCCGTGCTACATAAGAGACCACACGGAAAGACAACAACGACAAAAAAAAAAAGAAAGAAAAGGCATACAACCTAATAGCCACCAGAAGGGATATCTTCTTTTTTTTTTCTTTTTTTCTTTTCCTTCTTCCCCTCTTCCTTCTCTCCCCTCTCCTGTCTTCTCTCAGCTCACATACGGGGGACAGCTATATATTGTCACATTGTGAATCAGAGCGCAAAAAAGGGGAAAGAAAAAAGGAAAAGGAAAAAAGGGGGAGGGGGAAGAGGTAAGGAAAGCTCCACCTGTTCATAACCTCTTACGTACAAGGCCAGCCACCTGGATGACAGGTTGAGCGCTGGCTGCCCCCATCCCCGTGTGTCACAAGGACCCACTTGCACGCAGCCAAAAGGCAAAGA